GTCTTATTGTCCCCAATTCTTCTGATACACTGAAATGAGATAGCATTGAGGGGTTGTAAAAAAGAAGCACAGTCTTTGATGTGGCGTGAAAAGCAGATCTCAGGAGTGTTGTTGTAGGGAGAATTGACTAGGAAGGTAGTGACAGAACAGGAATGATTGTCAGATGTGTCTGCAGTTGAGGAGATCAAAAAGAAGCAGGCCCAGAAACTAAGATATATTAGCAAGGGAGAACATAGGGAGGATAGTATAGGCAGAGGCAGAGTCATCCTTAGTATAGCAGTATGACAAGAAGTCTACGGTATACTAATGCATAGTTTGATACAGTCCTGAGCCGCACATTAATATTTTTGGCCAACGATGGATCATATCCATCACAATGGTCCCTTAAAGTAATAGACCTAATTATGTTGTGGCCATTTTAGTTTGTGTAAGTAATTTTGTGATCTCGCAATGATCAAAATGCATGTCTCTCAGAGTGTCTTGTCATTAGGTGAGGCATGACCGACTGCATTTGGTTTTAATGTACTCTTCAATAATAATATTCAGTTATTCAATTCAGTAAATAGTTGTTTAGTGTCACATATGTCTAAATTTTATGTATTTATACTCTGAAGAGTAAAAATGAGGCATGATTCTGGTATTTAGCTAAGGCAAACTTATTAATACCTATAGATAACTGTAAGTTAATATATGATACAGCAAGAGAAATGAAAGAAGAGGAATCCTAGACATAGATGATAGCTTTGCATAAATTATCAAAATCAGTGTTTGCAGGATTTATTATCAGGGAGTAAATATGAACCTGTCAAAGGAAAGTGAGTGAGAAATGTCATGGAAGTTTGTATGGACTGAATGCCCAAGTAAGCTATGACTGCATTTCAGGGATTTTTCTACAAAATCAGTTGGTACTTGAGTTATTAAAATAATCCACACTCAGAAAGCTCATTCTGGATTAATAATACCTGAGATATAGTGTGTTTATGGACAACAAGTTGGAGAAAGGACATAATGAATTCCAGTTTGGAAGTGTTGAGAGTGCTTAGAGACACTGAGGTACAGATGTCAAGTTGGCGGTTAGTCTGAATTGGCACTCTAGAAATGAGCCAGCAGAACTGTGCTAGAAAATGGAAATACAGCTGCGATCTTTTATAGTGCTGAAGATTGTATTATGAAATGAAATTGCTTTGCATAATAGAAAAGAAGCAATAATTAGTAGCATCAAGCTGTCTTTTTCTGTCTCAGTTGTACCCCTTGAAATATTATTTAAAGTGTAACTGTAAAAATAACTAATGCCTTATAAAGCACAATTTCTGATAGTGTATATATTTTATTGCCCTGCCTTTTTGCTTTTCAACATTCTTTGTCCTGAATTACTTATTTAAATGAGAAATTTGAGGAGTAGATTACTTTTCTAAAAGTTTTTATTTAATTTATACAGTTTTCATAGGTACAACATTAGGAATATAGTGGTTTTTCCTCCCATACCCACCTCCCACCCCACAACCTACTCCCTCTCCCATCCCATTCTTCATTAAGATTCATTTTTAATTAACTTTACGTACAGAAGACCAACTCTGTACTAAGTAAAGATTTCAACAATTGCACACACACACACACACACCATTAAAAAGTGCTGTTAGAGAACAAGTTTTGCTGTTAATTCTCATGGTACAACTCATTAAGGACAGAGGTCCTACATAGGGAGTAAGTGCACAGTGACTTGTTGTTAATTTAGCAATCGACATTTTTATTTATGATGTCATTGATCACCCAAGGCTCTTCCCATGAGCTGCCAAGTCTATAGAAGCTTTTTGTGACTGCAAACTCCATCAGTATTTAGACAAGGCCATAAGCAAAGTGGAAGTTCTGTCCTCCCTTCAGAGAAAAGTACATCCTTCTTTGATGGCCCCTTCTTTCCACTGGGGTCTCATTCACAGAGATCCTTCAAGTAGGATATTTTTTGCCACAGTGTCTTGGCTTTCCATGCCTGAAATGCTCTCATGGGCTTTTTAGCCACATTCAAATACCTTAAAGGGGTGATTCTGAGGTCAGAGTGTTACTTAAAATGATTGCCATTCTATGAATCGGCTGAATGGACTGCTTCCCGTGCTGAACATTCCCTCCTTTTTAATTCTGTCTATTTTTACTACCAGGTACTTGATGCTATTTCTGTGGTCTCTTTAACACTTAATCCTATTTATATGTTCACTTTAACACTTAGTGTGATCACTTTTACAATTAAGATGGCATTTTACAACTTTACAAACTTTTTCCTTCCTTGCTTATTCCTCCTCTTATTTTTTACTGAGATTTATTTTGAATTAACTTTATATATATATATATATAATTAACTCTGTCAAGAGTTCAACATATTATATGAAGAAAAGAAAAAAATTAAAAAATAAAATAAAAATAAAGAACTGTTCCTCGATAGTCAAGACAAGGGCTGTTCAAGTCATTGTTTCTCAAAGTGGCAGTTTCACTTCTATAGCTTTCATTTTAGGTGCACTGTTAGTTATCATAGATCAGAGATGACACATAGTATTTGTCCCTTTGGGACAGGCTTATTTCACTAAGTATAAAGTATAAATCTGGATTGGTTCATCTTGTTGCAATTGACTGCATTTTATTTATTTATTTATTTATTTTTACTGCTGTGTAGTATTCCATAGTGTACCTATCCAATAATTTATCCAGTCTTCAGTAGTTGATGGGCATTTCAGTTGATTACACAGGGAAGTAGATTCTTAAATTGTGAGTGTTTTAGGGTTCAGTAAGCATCCCATAATCATATCCATTTATTTATTTACCTAATTTATGAATAAATAATAACTTTGTGGATATGGTTTTGTTTTTTTTTTTAAAGATTTATTTATTTATTTAAAAGTCAGAGTTACACAAACAGAGAAGGAGAGGCGGAAAGAGAGAGAGAGAGAGAGAGAGAGAGAGAGAGAGAGAGAAAGAGGTCTTCCATCCTCTTGTTCACTCCCCAATAGGCAGCAACTGCCGGAGCTGCACTAATCCAAAGCCAGGAGCCAGGAGCTTCTTCCAGGTCTCCTACGCAGGTGCAGGGGCCCAAGGACTTGGGCCATCTTCTACTGCTTTCCCAGGCCATAGCAGAGAGCTGGATCAGAAGTGGAACAGCTGGGTCTCAAACTGGTGCCCATATGGGATGCCAGCACTGCAGGCGCCGACTTAACCTGTTATGCCACAGCACTGGCCCCAAACATGCATCTTGTGAGGGCCTTTGCTTAATTTGGAACTGTAAATATTTTAATAGAATTATGAAAAATTGCCCGTTAATTTGTGAATGTCTTGAATCTTTTTTTTTTTTAAACTTTTATTTAATGAATATAAATTTCCAAAGTACGACTTATGGATTACAATGGCTTCCCCCCCATACCGTCCCTCCCACCCACAACCCTCCCCTTTCCCATTCCCTCTCCCCTTCCATTCACATCAAGATTCATTTTCAATTATCTTAATATACAGAAGATCAGCTTAGTATACATTAAGTCTGGATTTCAACAGTTTGCTCCCACACAGAAACATAAAGTGAAAAATAATAGATGATTTTTTTAAATGATGATGAAATCAGAGCAGACCTATTGTCATGTTTAATCCCAGTGAGAGTCAAGTTGGGAATTGATAATTTCTTTTTTTTTTTTTTTTTTTTACAGAGGATATTTACCAGTCTCAGATTGCTTTTGATATCAGTTTCAGAAATGGAGAACACAGGGCGAAATTGTATTGAATAATTACTAAGCACAAAACCTAACCGTGGGACAGGCATTTGGCATAGTGGCTTTTCAGCTACTGCTGACACCCACTTCTCATACTGGAGTGACTAACACCTCTCTCCATTCCAGCGTCCTGCTAATGGTCATGCTGGAAGGCAGTAGGTAATGGCTCAAGTACTTTGGTCTCCCGCCACCCGCGTGGGAGTCCTTGGTAGTGGTCCTGGCTTCTGCCTTTCCTAGCTCTGGCTTCTGGGGACAGTTGGAAGATGCCTGATCTGTTTTTTTTCTTTCTCTTCCCTGCCTTTCAAATAAAAAAAGTTTAAATTTCATTTATTCATCGTGGTGAAAATTCAGTGGGTCCTTTTAGCCTGGAAGCTCAGATCCTTTAGCTGGAGTCCATCTAAGGGTCTCAAATGAGTGGCAGGGACCAACTGCCTGAGCCTTACTACTCCCTCAGGGTTGCACTAACAGGAAGCTGGAGTCAGAAGTAGAACTATGACTGAATCTCAGGCAGTCTGATATAGGATGTGGGCATCTCAAACAGTGTCTTAACCACTGTGCCAAACACCCACCTCAGCCAACTCTGCTTCTGAGAAGCCTCCGTGTAGTTAGATAGATGTTTCAACATCAGAGTGTTCCTTACCAGGTGATTAGAAGATAGCAGGAGAATGAAATGTCGATGTGAAACTAATAGTTATGACTTGATGTAATTAAAGAGTGACCTTACAGTTCAATTTTTAAAAAGTAAGGTCCGTTAGAAATATACATATAGTTAAAATATTCTTAAAATTATTTCCTGTTGTGATATCGAAATATTTCCATAATTTCTCACTACTTGATATGCTATTTAATAGCACTTCTTTTGCAATTGTCTTTCTTATCCTTGACAACATTCTGTTTACGCCTAAGGAAATTGGAAATAATAACCTGCTTCTCAAACTGTTTCTCCTGATAATTTAGTGATACCTTATATAAAGTTTGTTTGTACTTAGAAGCTCTATAAAGGGTGGGATTTCATATGCAACTATTGTATCCTTAGCATCTGGCTCCATTCCTATACAGAGTAGGTGTTCAACAAGTGTTCATTATAGGATCTGTCATTTAACCTAGTAGTCTTATTCCCAAGCTGTGTGTGTGTGTGTGTGTGGTGGGGGGAGGGAAATAATTCATAAGGTTTGTAATGTTACCATGGCAACATAATGCAGTTATAGTTTCTTTAAAGAGAAAAATTTATAACACTGTATTTTGTAATTTTTTTAGGAGGAGCAAAATAGAGGCAAACCCAATTGGGAGCATCTAAATGAAGACTTACATGTTCTAATCACTGTGGAAGATGCTCAGAACAGAGCAGAAATCAAGCTGAAGAGAGCAGTCGAGGAAGTGAAGAAATTATTGGTACCTGCAGTAAGTAGTTATTTCCAAATCTTAAATTTCGGTCTCACTTCTCAGGGTTTTTTAAATTAATGGCTGTTTAGTCTAATGGAGAATAGGTTATCATTTTTTAAAAATTTATTTGACAGGTAGAGTTATAGACAGAGAGAGAGACAAAGAGAAAGATCTTCCTTCCGTTGGTTCACCCCCTAAATGGCCGCTACGGCCAGCACTGTGCCAATCTGAAGCCAGGAGCCAGGTGCTTCTTCCTGGTCTCCCATGCGGGTGCAGGGGCCCAAGTACTTGGGCCATCCTCCACTGCCCTCCCAGGCCACAGCAGAGAGCTGGCCTGGAAGAGGAGCAGTCGGGACTAGCACTTGGTGCCCATATGGAATGCCCGTGCTGCAGGCGGAGGATTAACCTAGTGAGCCACGGCGCCGGCCCTGAATAGGTTATCATTTAACCACAAAATATAAAAATAATTTATAGCTCATTTAGTGCTAGTCTAATGGGCAAACCATAGACATTGCTGACATTCTTAACTGGGAAAGCCTTTTCATGTGTGTATATATATATATATATACACACACACACACACACACACACACACATATATATATGTATTTAAGATTTATTTATTTATTTGAAAGGCAGAGTTACACAGAGAGAGGAGAGAGAGAGAGGTCTTCCATCTGCTGGTTCACTCCCCAGTTGGCCGCAATGGCCAGAGCTGCGCCAATCTGAAGTCAGGAGCCAGGAGCTTCTTCCGGGTCTCCCACCTGGGTGCAGGGGCCCAAGGACTTGGGCCATCTTCTACTGCTTTCCCAGACCACAGCAGAGAGCTGGATTGGAATTGGAGTAGCCAGGTCTCGACCCGGCGCCCATGTGGGATGCTGGTGCTTCAGGCCAGGGTGTTAACCCACTGTGCCACAGCGCTGGCCCCCATTTTCCCATAAATTTTTGTAAAGAAGTTATGCAGGAAGTAGCAGACACAATATGACTTCTCAAAAATGCTGTCTTTTGAATCACTATATTTACGAGGAGAATGTAGGCACAGCATCAGCAAGGTAATGAAAGCTGTTCTTTTTCAAAAGCTGTTTCTTATTGTGAACAAGTAGTAAGTTTGTAGATGTCTCTACCACTAACTTTTATGCAAGGTAGGTGGGATGTGTTAGTAGGAGCATGTAATTTGAATTGTCTATGAGTGACAGGTACTCGGGGTAGCATCTCATTATCTCTTATAGAAAGATTAGTGAACATTAATTGAAACTTTCCCTTAATGTAATAAAAAGTCATCTTAATAAACTTAAACGATAGCTTTTACTAATGTAAAGCATGATTCAGAGCAGCTTTTTAACTTTACTATTATTTCTATGATCATAAAACTATTGCATTTCATATTTAGAGGTCGTAAATAGGATATTGAATGCTTTTTGAGGGTGACATCTCATAAGAAATTACTCAGACACAATTTTGTGTTCTCTTCTTTCCCTCCATTCCATTTTCTTTACTCTTCTCCCTTTGGGTGTGCTTCTCATTAATAGGTAACCCTTTAGTAATTTTTAAAATGGCGATTACAACTATTACTAGACTATTATCTTTTTCAACAGGAAGTGAAAATTACTGGTTTTCTGAGTCACTATTAAATTTTGTTTTACAATAGTAAGAATACATGGAAGGATAGACCCTAATTGCCATTGAAAAACTAATAACACTGTTAGTACTTTGCCCACCAAAAATGTATTAACATTGACATAAATGAATATGGCATCTGCTGTTTTTATTTTCCAGATAGTCTAATCTTTATTACCCTGCTAGTGTCTTCTAAAAGTAAACTCACCAATTATATACACTTTCCATTAACTTTACAAAATTAATTCCTTGGAAGGAAAAATTTCATTTAAGTTCTGTTGACCTTATAAGGAATACAAATAAGTAGGTTGAGCATAAATTAGAATTTCTGTTTGCCCACTATTATACCATGTAATTGTATAACTTTTCTTTAATAAATGTGTTGTATTCAGTAAGCTATATAAAAAAATTTTTGTAAGCATATTGGGCTATTAGTTCCACCTGGATGTGTAAGTAGGAGAAATTTCCAACTTATTTGTATCTGTTTATGTGTTTATAAAGTGAGAGTCATAGCAATCAATCTCCAAAGAACTTTTTGTTTTACATTTATTTATTTTAAAGATTTATTTATTCGAAAGTCAGAGTTACGGAGAGAGAGAGAGAGAGAGAGATATCTTCCACCCAATGGTTCACTTTCCAATTGGCCGCACTGGCCGGAGCTGTGCCGATCTGAAGCTAGGAATCAGGAGCTGCTTCTGAGCCTCTTACACGGGTGCAGGAGCCCAAAGACTTGGACCATCTTCTGCTGCTTTCCCAGGCCTTAGCAGAGAGCTGGGTCAGAAGTGGAGCAGCTGGGTCTCAAACCAGCTCCCATATGGGATGCTGGCGCTACAGGCCAGGGTGTTAACCAGCTGCGTCACAGGGCTGGCCCCAGAACTTTTTGTTTTAAAAGTGGTTTGTCTTTGAATATGAAAAGGTGGTAGGGTAGTTCATAAAAAGAATGACAGAAACTTTAAAAAGCTTAATTTATGTCCTGAAGGAGAAAATTTCACTTTTGATGATAAACCTATTTATCTTCTATAGAAGAATTTAGTATTGTTATTGAACAGATTGTAACAATTTTAAATTGTGCTTTTTGAAATTACTTACAGTGAGGTAATAAAACTTTCTTAGAATTATAAATCATAGGATAAAAAGTACAGACTTTTTGGTTTGGCTTCTATCCAGTGATTTAACACTTGCAGTAATTTCTTATTTATTTTATTGAATATGTTTATTATGACATGAATACTGTATTAGAGAATTTGTTTTAATTAAGGTGAACATTATTAAATATTTGGTGATACCAGGGTTAAGCAGAAATTTAAACAAAACAAAACCTCTCCATAATTGATAATTACTGTCTTTGTAAAAGTTAACCCCATTGTCGTCTTAGGAGAAACATGTTTGCTTTAGACTTATGTATAAATTTATATTTATACCAAGAAATAAAATGATATATATACAAAGTATAAAAATGAAAACAAGGTAATATATTCAGACATTCACCATTCTCTGTTCTAGCTGTTTAAAACTATCCAGTAAGTTGTTAACTATAGTCATCTTAGAGTGTTACAGAGCACTAGAGCTTATGCTTCCAAACTGACTTTAATTTTGTAACCAATAACCAACTTGTCTAAACCATCTCCTTCCCAGCCTCTGGGAATCTCTATATTATTCTACATCTATAAAATAAACTTTTTAAGCTTCTGCTTACAAGTGAGACTTATGTTCTTATTATAAAACTTTGAGTTTACCTTAAATAGATGCTCTTTGTAAAATCTAATTGGCAAAAAAACTTTCCAAAAGTTGATCATTTTGACGTCTGCTACCCAGTGATGATTACAAGGGTTAACCTGCTAAATTCCGAGTTTTCAATTCTGGGAATATTTCAGTGCCATAGTGATTATTTCACAGTTACTATACATAGTATATTTATTGAACAGAGTCTTTATTGGTATACTATATATAGGACAGTGGTAAATGATTGATTAACATTATCTATTTTTACCAAGTATATATAGTTTAGGTAATTTTTTAGACCATTAAAGTTTTCCTCTGTTATTAATAGATATACCTTTTTTTTCTGGTTCTGTGTCTTTACGTTGCACAATATATGGATGTGCTGTTATTAACCATTCCTTGTTGGGCATTTATTTTTCACTTTTTACACATATTAATGTTGCAGATAACTTTTTAAGAAGATGCTGGAGTACCTTTTCTGAATATTTTGAGACAGATTTCCAGAAATAAAATTGTATGACTAATATGTGAGCATGTTTTAAACATGAATTTGGTCATGTGCCACCATCATATTAAGAGTGCTAATTTTAGTTTATTTGTGTTTCTAAGTCCTAAAATTTAAGTATCTGATTTTCTATTTTGATGAATTTTAAACTGAAATCTCATTGTTAAAATGAGGACTTAGAGAATTTGAAAGCTTCAGAATTGCTCTTTTTTTTTTTTTTCAAGATTTATTTGTTTATTTGATAGGCAGAGTTACAGAAAGAAAGAGAGAGATCTTCCATCTTCCATCTGCCACAAATTGCCACAATGGCTGGAGTTGAGCCATCTTCCGCTGCTTTCCCAGGCACATTAGCAGGGAACTGGATTGGAAGTGGAGCAGCTGGGATACAAACCGGTGCTCACAGGGGATGCTGGCACTACTGATGGCAGCTTTACCCACTATGCCTCAGCGCCGGCCCCAGAATTGTCCTGAATAGCTCATATTTGCTTTGCCTCTGAATTACCTATTTCATCCCATCTAGCTAATTTTCTGTTTGTTTGTTTTAAGATTTATTTATTTGTTTGAAAGGCAGAGAGAGAAAGAGAAATTTTCCATATGCTGCTTTACTCCCCAAATGGCTGGAGCTGAGCAGATTTGAAGCCAGGAGCTAGAAGCTGGGAGACTCTTCCTGGTCTCTTATAGGTGCAAGTGCTCAAGTACTTGGGTCATCTTCTACTGCTTCCCCAGGCTCATTTTCAGAGAGCTGGATTGAAAGTAGAACAGCCAGGACTCAAACCGGTGCTCAGACGGGATGCCGGTGCTGCATGTAGCATCGTAACTCCCTACACCATGGCTCTGGCCCCTATTTTTTGTGTGAATATCAGCATTTTTATTGCCAGAGTTGTATGCACTCTGTGTATCATAGATGTGTATGCCTAATAGTTTGAGTTAATGGTTGGCTTTAAATTTTTTCTATTTTCAGTCTTACATTTTAAACCTGTAGTTGATTCTGTTAAGGTTTTCTTTATGATTTTCAATTGCTTTTATGATCTTACCATTTGAAAACAAGTAAAACATTTCCTTTGCATTTTCTTTTAGGTTTTTATTTATTTCATGCTTTTCTTTCTCATAATATTGTTGTACTACTACTTATAAATTCTGTTGTGTTTATGAAACCACTGTGTCAAGCAGCCAA